ACACAGCTAGTCACTTCCCAAATAGTTACGGTTAATGTTTTATCTACTAATTTACCAAAGGTAGATTACAGACCGACACTTTACCTCCTGTAGCCTTCAACACGCCTTCTATTGTGATCGGATGTTAGCTCGGAATTTCAAAGTGGATCAGACAACCCGTGGTACGTGGTGTTGCGCCATCGGCTACCAGAACACAACTAGTCAATGACACGTTTGCTGCTACATGTTGCAGGAAAGGCATAAATTTTTAAATTGAAGTTGAAGCGAAGGTGTTTACTTCTTTGTTTTGTCTAGCAGTAGTCAAAATACTTCAAAACATTATGCTTAATTCACTGAGAAAATGGTCACTTTAAACAAAAAAGAGTTCAGAATGCATTTTTGTTGTTATTCAATGTCAAATTCAATGGAATACAATTCTACTAACTATTGTTTAGTCATTGGTCACCTAATAACATAAATTTTCATAATGTCTACCAATGCATCAGCCTCTAGTTATATTTACATAACTAAAGCATTTTTTGTTTGACTTAAATTTCCACTAAATTGTATTTAATGGTAGTTCGTAACCTCACAACAAAAGATTTTTAATTCCAGTCACTTATTTGTGGCCTTACCAGGCGTCTAACTGCTATCGGTAACTTATACAGGTAACAACTAAGCATCAAAACAAACCTGAAGCTATCTTTTACCATTAATAGTTCAACAGGTATTGTCCCTATAAGAAGAATTCTGTCGAAAACTTGTAGATTCAGCCACCAACGTCCTACTGTCAATGGTCTTTAGTCAACTATTTCATGGCTTCATCGCCGCATCTACTCAAATTCTCGGCCCTAAAGTGATTCGATCATCACCTTCTGACCTCTACATCACCGCTTAACAATAAATACTTTTTCTGTCTGAGTTTTCATATCCCTTAACAAATTGGGCTGACGGTGGCATTACTCACGAAAGATGACTACCTTCCGATCCTTAAATGGCGGATGATATCAAACCTATTTTTATCAAGTCTAGAAAAGAAAACTAATTCACTTTTAACCCATTTCGGGTTTATTGCGCACATCAAAATTTTGTGATATTAACGGCTATCTGCCCGTTTGAATTTAGGACACCAATTGAAGCTATAATTATACAAATTGCTCCCTTTTACTTATCCCTTGGTGTTCTGGTAGTTTTCAGCATGTCTTCTTCCAAATCGATGGTTTTTAAGAGCAAGCAGGAAGAACAACGGTGACGTCGGTGGTTGCGTATTTGATTTTAGTGTTTGACTTAAACACTACGGTATTTGCGCTTCATTGAATGCACAACGTTGACCTGGCAAATTCGGTTGTGCTGCGTCGCAAGTCACTCCGACGAAGCCGAAGCAGTCGACAGTCGAATCTATCCTAGTTGGCAGCTTCCACATTGCATTTCTTTCCTGCACATATTTTGCTTTTCATGAATATTGCTTTAAGTCGTGCCATGAGGCAGGCATCCTAATGCATTTCATTCCCAATAAGAGAAATTGATCAAATATTTGGACGTTTCCAAGATGAAAGCACATTTCCGCATGTTCTAGATCAGAGCGCGACATATTCCATCGTCATATTATCCTCTTTGAAGTCAAATGCAAATTTCCCCATATTCATTTTCTGGTTCCTTGGGAATTTGACTTAAAAATGTTTGAAAGGGCTTGAAGTCTGTGTGTGTGGCACTGAGATGCCGACAAAAACACCTTGTAAATAGGCTGAAACCCTATTTTAGGATATTGCTGACCAACTTCAATCGGCAGACCTCAACGGGCCTAAAAGTGGTCTTCCAAATCCCTCTCCCTACCCGGAGGTCTGTGTTGTATCTGGGACTTTTTTGATTTACAAAGGTCCAGACACCGTCTCCTCTGGACCAGTTATCGGTTGTTGACTTGCCGTGAGAGTTAACCAGGAACGATTAAATCATTTTAGGAAGGCTTATTAAGTCGTTTAAAGAAGCGTTTTATACTAAACTGTAAGAGTTTTGAAGGTAAGGGTGAACAGAGGATGGACACTCCTAATACAAGAATCACTGCATTAGCTTGACAGCACCTAAACAAGAGATGAAGGCGACCTCCAGGTTTCGTCAACGATCAACACCATCAACGATCACCGAAATATCTGAGCAAGGCATGGAAACTCTGTGTTATCCTAAGTTGTGTGCGGTAGTCGCTCTCGTCAACATGTAATGACAATCACGCTGATAAATCACCTTTTGTCAAGTGAGAACGGCAAATTAAATTCTGCAAGATAATTTTTGAAGGTCAAGCATTTTGACGAATTCCTCGAGGCGATTTGCCCAGTAAATATGACAAAATATTGTGGGGCATTTAAAGCCACCGTCCACAAGCAAATCCTTATTCTTGTGTTTACGCTTCAGCATAATTTTAAACAATTAAGTCGTGTGCTGTTGCGTATTCTGTTAGCCGAGCTACTCAACTGCCTACTCACAATGCCAACTTTGATTCACTAGCTTGGCACTTGTCCAGCCTATCTGTACCACAAAAACTGGTTTTATGGCTGATTGTGTAGGCTGTGTGCCAAGCTACAATTTTAAATGACACAAGCCGTGTTGACCAGAGCCTACATGAAGACATTGCCAACATAGTTATAAAAAAAACCCTTATCTGACAAAAATCACCACATTTACGAAGTAGACTGTGTCTTTTTCAACCTGCCGGAAGTGTCTTTAGATGTCTTCAATTACTCATTCTGATTCACATCTGAGTTGACCTTTAATGAGAGGTTTTAGGCCAAAAATCAACCTTGTTAGTAAGTTGCCGCACCATGATCACTTATTTTTAACTTTATTTATTCCATTTGCCAAAATTTGTTTTACAAAATCACAGGTGTGGCAAGTAATCTTTCAAACTGCCGATTCTTAGTGAAAATGGCAATATCTTTAGATAATCAGGTTGTTGACTAAAGGAAATGAACAAATCATTCTCGAAGAAATCATTTTTTGCATTTTTGACACATTTTAAAAATAGTTTGCAGTGCTAGAACTGATGTTGATGACAAAAAAATTGAAATGCCTTAATGGGATATAAGGCAAAATGTAGCTCACAAAGTAGTTTGTCAGCTGTCACTGACAAAATTGTTTTGTTAGGCGTCGTAAATCTGCATACAACAGACAAACAATATTTCACAGGTTGAATTAGTTAAGCATTTCCCAACTGCTTATGATATTTTCCCAACTGTGACAAGTTTGACAACGCAATGTAGATGTAAATATTGCAGTATCTAAGACCAGATATTTACACCATCATACCTGAATATGCACCTGCAAATTAGTGGCAGACGAAAATATGCATGAACATTTTTTTTCAACTGACCATTTTTTTTTACAAAAAAAGTAAGTAAATGACATCCTGAAATTCCAGACAAGTTGTCTTGAATCGCAGAAGAATTTGGAACCGCTGTCTCATCAGACCGTGGAAGAAAACACACCGGCATTCCTTTACTGATCCAAAACCTTTGGCTGTTTGCAATGCCAGAACTTTGCTAAGAATTTTTATACCACAAAAAGGCCCTTTCTAGACGGTTTTGTTTTTGAGGTTTCAGCTCACAATCAAAATGCACAGTATCTCACAAATACACATGTCACATTTAATCGCGATAATTGACTAAAGATGTTATGCCTTTTAACAAAAGTTCTTGGGCTGTAGAAAACAGTCACTTTTAATGCATTTTGCCCAAACACGCTGAAATGCACCCAATGCTCTCGTACGTGAAATTATGTAGGAAATGTGAGGGGAATTTCGCGTGAACTTGCACAAAATGCCCCAGTAATATATCCTGTTCCTTTTTCAGGGCAAAATTTTTTAAGCGGCATCACCTAGCCTACTTAGATAGAGAAAAAGGCCCGTAATTAACACTGGAGTTGATTAATTGCGCCGTTTGAGAGCCCTTGTGACATTACATACAAGAATTTCTATTCCTGTAACCAAAACTCACCTCAGTTGACACATTACACCTGCTCAAGCAGTCTAAAATTTAACGAAAATGAATGTTTTGTTTATTTTAAGTAAGGACTTGTAGAAGTTACAAGAAACACGTGTGTTTGCGTGCTCAAACGATTTACTAAGATAGACTTACAAGCAGTCAGGATTGATTTTGTCTCAAGCTAATTCCAACAACAATGATAAAACGTGAATTCTTATGGCTTCAGGCTAATCTACAAGGATCATGGAAAGCCACTAGCAATCAAATCGCAGATCGGAAATATTGTAAACAGTGCTAACACGAGACAGCCTATCCAGTAAAATGTTTACAATTAACTCTAATTCGTTTCCCAATTAACAGAGAAAAGTTCTTTTTCAAACTAGTGATTTTTTTTAAAAATAAATACTATTTACCTGTCCTGTAAGAATTTAAAACTTTAATGATGCCATATCATGCAACTACATGTCTCGCTGCGGTTTTACTTCATTCAAACTGGTTACGATTTTGTTCCTACCTTTTATTTTATCGTATTTACATATCGTTTCACTGAGTTCCACTTATGTGGAACAAAATCCAGCAAACTCAATTAGTCAGTTTAATTGGAGGAATTTGAAGGTAACAGTTCTGCTATAATCTCCTGCCTGATTCCAATTTCCCAACGATAAATGCGCCTTTTAAATGATTAAGCAGTCGACCCAGCGTTCCTTTACTTCGATTCAGCTGTGTAAAAAGAAGTGCGCTGTAATTCAATTATTCTGTTGCTCAACATTAACATAGACAAGCCACGATGACTCCTGGGGGCAGTATCTATCACAATTTCGAAACTATTTCTGCTTCGCTAGCCACAGAATCATAGGGGTCACACCTTATAGCCAAAAGGTAGCGCCGAAATTTCCGTGGGAGGTCTTATAAATTTGAGGAAAATCACATCTAAAGGGTAAAAGTTGACTTGGAAAAAATCGGGCAACAATGTTGAAGAGTCTCCGTGCAAGGTGGTTGAGGCTGGAAGGAATTTTTTGAGGCGTGTGCGGTAGGTAGGTGGGTAGGTGGCTAGGGTTCCTCGCAAAAATTCTCCAGGTAGGCTCGCGTGCACCCCAGGCAACAGCACTGGGCCACCGGACTATCGAGCTCAAAGTGGAGGTAGAGCTTGCAGAAGTCGTCATACCGTTTCTGAAGATGCACCGGACTCCAGTGGTTAAAGGCGACATCTGTGAAAAAAGGAAAGCGATTTAACTGCCACACCTTCTCACTGGTAGCATTTTGTTTTAAATTCAAAGTCAACATGAATGGTGTAGCTACGTAGCACTGACACGAAGTGTGAAAATGCGATATCGATTAATGTGAAAACGCATTGATATGTATCCGTTTTTTGTGTACATATTGCATTTAACTATCGCCTAAGGCATCACAGACCATCAATGTGGCAAGCGTCAACAAGGCACATCTCACTCACCCGGCGGTGTTCGCCTGAATCGGCCGACTTCGTGGACAGCTCGTTTGCGGTATGGTGAGTACGTGCCCCGAGCTCCGCATTGCTTTTTCAGGGCCCTAATCAGTGCCTCTCCGCACAGTATCCGCGGGCGATCCTCCTCCTCAGTGTAGACGTTGTCAACCGCGGTCTGTCGTTTTGTCAAGCTCGCCTTGGGATCCACCTGTTCGTCTAGCCCCTCCCCAGGAATCGCGTCCAGTCTCCACTCCTCCCAAGGCGACACAGTGCAGCCTCTGCACATGAGGAGGAAGACGACTGTTGCCAAGGCGACAGGGATGCGGTGGTTTAGGGGGAGCATAGTGTTGGGGTCACGTGGAATTGTTATCAAGCGTAGAATACGGGCAGGCCCTTCGCGTTTATATAGCAGCCTGCGGTTTCCCATCTGGCCAATCAAGATTAGCCTTACGGAGGCGGGAACTCAGAGTCATGCGGATGCGTACACTTGGAAAACTGTCGCGTGCCTGTGCGCGCATTGTGTGAGATGGTGGAGTCGTCTGTGAAGAGGGTCAAATTAATTGAGCATGGGCGACATATAATGAAATCAGTTATCGAGAGTGCCGTATAAAATGCCTATTTATTAGTTCATCCACCTTACTTGAGGCAACTAGCGTTGGCACAAGCAGTCTATGCACTGCTTCAGCTGGTGTTCCTACCCCAAGTGTGAAGGAATTCATTGTTTGATCTATGTCTACCATTTTAACCAGTAATATTAGTTAACAAACCCATAGTCACGAATCCATTAAAAGGCAAGTTTATTTTTTTAAAAAAAGCAAACTTGGGAGGCCCTCTTAAACAGACAATAGGTGTGCCGTTGCCACGTGAGAACATGTGAATGTTATGCCCTGTGCTCAATTATACAAGTTTTAGATGAGGTTGCGCAAAGCATTGACCCTTAGTCCGCTTTTTTTAGCATTCGCATTACATCAAATGTACATGAGTGCCGTTAGTAATAACTACCTGGCGCGAATGGACAGTTTAGTGGGCTGCAGAATTACAATTTACCGGATAATTACCCGTGTAAATGGTTATGAGCAGTCGTAGTCTACCTAACTGATTTGTCTGACTTCAATTTCAAACAGAGCTAGAGTTAGCTGCTTTTTTTATGGATTGCCTCAAATTTGCAGCGATTCGATAAAAAAAACTATCAGGGATGTGTGTAATTCAACGGAGGTCAAATCATGAGCATATTTGTCGACAACAAGTCTATTTTCCCCTAAGGATGACCAGATTAATTAAGTTGCGAGGTTGACCACAATTTACGCTAAAAATTAGTTTCTTCTAAGGATGTGGTCTGCACCCAACTAAACCACTACTGCAGCATGTATGCTCAAAATCTCTGTACTTCTGATCAAGACACTGGATTTTCTATTTAGTTAAGCAAACTCTATGATGCAAATAACACCAGGGGGTAACGTGACTTCACTTAATGCAAATACATTTGATTATTCTTAAGGCTGCCAATGCAAAGCAAACTCACGTTTTCTCAATTCAAATAGTGACGACTTCATTTCGTTTTAATAAATAGATAAGGAAGAGTGGCTGACGCACTTTGCCTTAGCAATGTCTATTATTTGCATATGCGCCTATTGTGTGATACTCTTATTTTCAGTTTTACTCTGTAAGTTTTAATTTTTAATAGATTTTGGTTAAGCTGTGACGTTAAAAATATACAAATCAGATTTTGGCATTTAAGCATTTTACAACGTTTTTCAAGGTGATTTAGATTTAGGGTAAAAAATAGCGTCATGCTACGTCCACTTGCTTCCATTGCCAAGTTGAGGATTTCAAGAAAGTGAATTACTTCAACAGCAACAAAATTTTGTTACCATGCAAATGTACCCTGTTTATTTAAATTCTCAGTCCGAAATGAAGATGTACAAAAGAGGTTTGACTAAATGTCGAGGAAGTCAGCTCTATTACTCGGCTTCAATATATTACAAGACCTTAGAATTGAACACTTCGACGTTAGTTGTAGAACATGTATAAAAACATTTGACTTTACTTACTTTACGTCTATGAAACATCAAGTAAATAGCTTAAAATGGAGGCATTATTGCTTATTAATCTTTGAAAAATAAGTCTGAAGTTTCAAGCAAACTATCTTGGGGGCCACACACTCTGACAAATTGTCTTGGAAGTTATCCGGATTTAAGCAAATTGAAAACTGTGCAAGTATCGCAGATAGGAAGGTTTTTGCATATATGAATGCTAACAACACTCCAATAACTGAAACTGCACAATCAAGCAAAACAGCTGTAAACAGCTAGCTTATGAATTGGATAATCCTTGTTGGGTCAATACCAAAACGTAGCTTTCCAATGGCCATTACTTTTACTACAAAATAAAACTTCCTGCCGATGCAAGACAACTTCTGCCATCTTAGTCTCAAGTTACTTCGTAAAGTGGCCCTTTGTGACTTTAAACATGAAAATCGGATTCCATTGGACACCCAACAACTTCGGATGGACAGTAAAGTGAAGAGAAGCAAATTCTGTGAAACCACACATTACAGTTATGTAAATGCGGTTTGAGTTAAATTTGTGCCCAGTAAACATTCACAATGAATAATAAATTGTATTTTCTTCATGCTATTTTATGAGGTTACGGGACTGTTCTGAAACACATGCAAGATCTCAATTTGGATCGTCCTCCTGCTTCTAGTACAGATAAGACGTGGCTTAATCGATTTCAAGAATAGCGCCCTTTTGGTGGGATTCTATTGGACGATTGTGGTAGATTCAGCTCACAAGAAATCAATTCAAAATCTTGCTCAATTTTTTGGTTTCGAATAGGATTTTTTACAAAAACCATGTAACAACTTGTGACCTGCGCTAAGTGGAGCTCTGAGAGCATATTTCCTTGTCCATAATTTCGCTTTTTTTAAGAAAATCAAGGTTCTTTTAGTATTCTGAACTCTCTAGTAGGCAACACTTGCAAAATTTGCCACAATACAATAGGAACTGATTTCTCGATCAGATCAGTCATGCTATCAATTCAGTGAAATATTAATAAACACGAAATCACTCGCACAGCTATATTGTGAGACTGTTTTGTGATGTTACGGGATCGCAAACAAAATGCGAAGGTTAAATTTTATGCAAATAGAGAAAAAAACTTATATACCCCCACTGTGGCTCTCCTGGTCTAGCTCTTATGCCCCTAACAACAAGGGTGTCCAAACGCTACGACTTTGGTGAACTTTCACAAACACAAAAAGCTAATATTAAGGGTGGTAAATTTATGGATTTGACGTTTCAAAATCCTCCCGTTTGAAGAAAACTTCCACCTCTGAAATTACTGCTCTTTGAAATTTTTTACTTAAATGATTAAAGTAGAGGACGCGCAACGTAAGAACCATTGTACTTATTTAATAATAAATAATTTTTGATGATACACTTCATGTAAAAATTCGTATGATGCAAATTCAGCCTTATGAAGTTGCAATACTTTATTCTTTAAGTGTTGAATCAATAAGCCTTTCCATAGTTCCATACCCATTAACTCAGACAACCGTCCGTTCAGGTATGTCTACATTTGCTGGTTTACTTTACCTACATCGGTCAACAATATTCAGTTGTTGTGTAACTTGGGGGAATACACGACCTTGATTGCACACACAAACCAGAAAAAAATCGCAGCAGGCTTGAACCAGGGTTCCAAATATATCGGGTGGGCTCGATACTGTTTCAAGATTTGTAGCGGATTAATAGCGATCTCGCCTTAGTGAACCCTGGTTACTGACCTGACGGTGACAATGACTCATCCCCTCTCCCATTGGTTACCGTACCAGATGCCTGTCATCCGTTCACTCATCCTCACACTAAGACACATTTTGGCTGGCGTGACGCTAGTAAACCGTCGTGTCCTCTGTCTCCGCTTTTCTCCCTTTCCTCGGGTGGTTACGGGCTGTTGACTAGAGGCTTGTGAGGTAGTGCTAGACTCATTCCTGGAACACTTGGCGAGCAGTTATTTTTGAGTGTACTTGTTCAACAGTAACTACCAAATTGGATTTAAACGATTCTTTTAGTATAAACAGTGCATTCCAACCTCACGGGACGATTCATTCTTCTTTAGGAAAGACATTTATTGATGCTTAGAGTAGTCAATGCAGTGGCCATTTTGAGAATATTGAGGCATATTTTTATGACCCAAGTCGACTCGGCTTGCGATCAGCTGGAACTAGCAAATTCACCACGATGTTCCACATTGTAACTGAACACGGACACCTAAAAAAATGTTAAATGCCAGTAGATGCTTTCTATTTTGGAACATTAAAACTCGCAGTATACGTCCCTTAAATGGTAAATTACGCATTGCGGAAAACCTTTGCAATAGGTCCTGCCTTGTTCCCTCCTGAAATTATAACACGGGACGATTCGAAGTGTATCGTCCAGAGATTAGGCAGCCTCCGGAAATTTAGCGTCGTCAGGAGGATAGGAGGGTGCCGGAGACTGAGCGTAGTCTGGCAGCGATTAGCGCCAAAGACTAAACCTTTTTGAGTTAGGCGAGAGTTGGAGAACGAAACCAGGCTAATTAAGGTGAGCGTATAGGGTAAAAGCTTGGTTGAGCGATGGGGCAGAAACAGGACCTTGAGGCGGGCGATGCAGAAGTGCAGCAGTCGCACGTTGCGATTCGACGGACGGCAGAATTGCTTGAGGGGTGACATTTCTATAAGAAGTGAGACGCAGAATTACCGCGCCATTTAAGTCGCCCCTGAAAAGTGTCAATCGCCAGGTCGTAGAGGGGCGATAAGTGTGTAAAGTCAAGAAAAGTTTGGTCGACGATGAGCCGTAGTTACGTTTGCTGTCCGAGGCGGACAAGATGGAAAATCGGGAATAGAGTCAATCAGATGTTGAGGGACCAGGCGAGAGTCGATTGAGAACTGCAGCAAATCACGCAGAAGCGAATAGCAAGTCGGGTTAAGCTTAGTGGATGGTAAAAAAGGAGCAAAATAAATCGATTCAGAGTGATTTATAGACAATCTAAGCAAACAGTTGATTTCTAGCTTGTAGAAGACAACATCTGTTCAATAGCTGATTAACCATTTTGTTGCGGACCCCAATGCTGTTTTGGGAACCGCATCAGATCCTGAGATCGAAGTAGACATGGCCCGTCAAAAGGAAGAGAAAAGACGGCGGATAACTCGTAGTTCAATCAATTAATTGATGCAGTAGCAGCGTGGTTGTACAGGTTAATATCGGCCTCCGAAAGAACATGGCTACGTGGAGTGCCTCGAAGAAAAATCGATTAAAATCGTGTTTGCTTACACTTGCTAACTGCGTTTGTAAGACGTCAGCACACCACACACGGCAGTCACTGATTCTTGTGGTGTAGTAATTTACGTCGAAAAGACTGTAAAACTGGAAAAAATCAGGACAATTTGGCAAGGTGCGTGTCGGCACAGCTTTAACGAAATACCGAATCTACCTAAGAACAGAAAATACGCCTATTTTACACTGTGATTTAATCGAAATTTTAAGACAGTTTTTCCCTGCTTATATTGCACACAATGTGTCCAAGTAACTAACTTGTGTAAGCCGATTTAAACTTCTTATTCCCTGAAATTGGACACCGATAAATCTGGCCAAGCGTGCAGCATCAACTGTGGTTTTTTGACCTTGAATTCTATTAATGCTGACCGGAGGTATTTCGGTATTTTGTTTAATCGATTACTGTTAAAAGCTAGTGCAAATTTTTTGACATTTGTAAAATAACCTCAATGAACTTGCAAGGACCTGAAATGGCTGCACATTTCTTTGCTAAACTGTCATTATCAACAGCCCTGCGAAGCCTGGTGTTACAAACAGTAGTGTCTAACCGTGAGTTTGACTTGATGCTGCTGAAAGACTGTGTAAAACAATCAAGAACCTGTTACCCCGGATCAAGTAACACTTCAATAAATGTTATTTCCAAACAATTCAGGCGTAAATATCTTAAAATTCCAAAAAAATGGACAAATTTGACAGTCAAAGTAACTTTTAGTTAAATTTAGCTGAATGGAAAGCACATGTTTTGCATTGGATCCCGAGTACTTCGGGATAGATTACTGGATAGAGGCCAGATTCATTTTACAGCTTAACGCAGACATTTAAAAATGACTATTTTGACAACAGGAAAATTTTCTCTGGAAGGCAAATTTTTCGTTTGCAACATGGTCGTGTTTAGAAATGAGGCTTCTTCAATTAGACTGCTCAAACTGTTACCTTTTCTCCTCTCAATCATGAAAATTCTCATTTAAACGACTGCCAAACACGACCCTTTGGATGTCAATAAGTAGATAGATAGAATCGTCATCTATCCCTGAAGAATAAGTTTTTTTAGGAAGAAATAGAAGGGAGTAAATACAGTCCGTTTTACATGTCATGAGACAAGCAGTACTTTTAATAGAGACCAATTGTCTAAAAGGCCATGTCCTTTTCTTGTACCGAACACTAAATAGCACTGATTTTTTAGGTCAGTAATTTATAAAGGTCAAAACCAAATTACTTAATTACGGTTACCTATTGACCTATTGGCCATCATGATACAGATAGGAAACACGTAGACTTATTATGGCAAGAAACACCAAGAAATGAGACCAACACTACGTCGCCTCAATGGTTAGGAGGGCGCATTTTTAGCTTTAAAAACCGCCTTTGATTTCAATCCCTGGCCGACGTCACCACGTGAAACGAGATCAGGATAATTGGTTAAATTTGTGTTTACCCATTCCCCAAAACTCATGTTTTTCAACAATACAAATCTGTCAGTTTTACTAACTCAGCGCTTCATTTCTCCTGAATGTGTCACGTTCGCCATTTGTAACTGTCGCTAATTGACGGTGTATGGATTATAAACAGAAATGAGGCCACTGGTAAAATTGTGGTCCTAAACCAATGACTAAGTGCTTAGTCACTACCCAACTGTTGGGGATCCACGATTCCCCAAGATTGGTTTCTGATTTTATTTACATTAATTTATTAACATTTGTTTTGTTACGCTTTTATCAAGTCAAGGTCAAACTTGACTTGAATAAGGTTTCAAATTACTTCCGATTTCACTTCTTCCCTGCACGTGGCTGACGTGAATAAACCTCTCAACTCGAGCTCTGGTCTTGTTCTGGTATTAGCCTGGGAAGGTCGGTTCTAGCTTTCAGCGAGGGATCTGGTACCATTATTTGAGTGGTATTCTCTATTGTTACGGCAAACGTAACACCAACAGAACAATATTGTTCATTAAATTGACAAATTTGGCAATACTGAGGCCACCTACCCAAATATCTACAGTTGCCGAAGATTGACACATGCGAATGTTGTGTCAATTGACTTAACACGTAATGTGCATTCGAGCTATTTTCATGATTTCGATTAGTTTCTGTATGTGCGTTTCAACATGCTAAGAGGACTAGTCATTGCAAAACAGAAATATTTAAGCAGGAAACTGGAAAGAGGCGCATTATGGATAATTTGAATAAATCAAACATTTGGTTATTTAGGCTACTTTGATGAATTTTATTACGTAAGTTTCTTCATGAAGTAAAAGTCTTTTTAGGCTCAACACAATCGCGACATGCCTGTTTGATGCAGTGTCATTGTATAAGCATGTGATTGAATTTCCTCAGCCCTTTTACCGCATGCAGAAGCCAGTTATTTTTCTTTTCCTTCACTAAATGTTGACACCCAACCCTCCAATTAGCAAATAAACATGTTTTGAGGCAAGTTTGGGTAGGTTTGTTGTAGAGACTGGCCTTTTAATGTCGTAATTTAGATCGTACGGTCTACCCACAGTAGACTGACTGCACAAACACGGTCTTTTTCCACTTTGAGAAAACACCTTAAGGCTTAGATTGTTTTTTTTTCTATTAATATGCGTGGGACGTGTAGCCAACACCCACCCGAATAACCCACAGTGGGTCTTATTCTCCGGTTATCTTTTTTATGAGTCTTCGCTGATCAAATACGGCGCTGCGGTCGCGACCCCTGTGGACACTAATTTCTTCGTGTTTATTATGGCTGGTGCATAATAAAATTTCCTGCACACGGTGAGGCAAACACCGTGTAACAGGCCTGCAGATGTTTAGTGTTTGATCTGAGCCCGTTATCAGAGCCCGACGGCAACTTAGACGGTGGAATGTCTGTTTGTGCGAGCAACGACTAATTTCCAGAGGGGTGGTCCACCTCGTCATAAGGAGGCCACTGAGAATGAACCACCTGCCGATTCGTTTAATCCGCTACGTTGACTGAGGGACTTCTTTTAAACTGACGCAACGAAAAATAACTGTTAACATATACAAGATTATTATGCCATGAGTTAGAACAATTTAAATTATCTCTTAAAATCAATCTAAGTTAATCCAACTAACCGCTGATTGAGGTGGTATTTAAAGTGAGGCGAAGCCCATGAACACGCAGACATATTTAACTTTTGCTACAACACTTTCTGTACCTTAAAAAACCGTAAAAAGAAAAGTAGTTTAAAAAAAGCTGCGAAACGTTTTGTTTTTCCAAGAATGAGATTACCAACTATCGCGTCAGTTTTGTCGTCAGAGAAAAATTCAATTTTCTGAGCATATGTGCTTTGGTTATATCATAACTAACCCCAAAAGCGGACTAAACAATTTGCATTTTTGAACGGCAGTGTATACGGTTCTATGGATGCTTAGGAATGATTTGAGATCCTGAGTATTCAGCAAAGGAAGCACCTAAAAACCAACGATTTCCAGTTTATGAACTGGAGGCAGCCCGTTGGCCGTTTGAAACACCGTTTTTGGTCTTGGCACGCCCAGCACTGTCGTGGTCGCTGATTGCGAAAGTCGAACAAATGTAGGGATAAATAAGTTAAATGTAAAAAAACAACTCATAACATTTGTGCTTTGGGTATTTTTTGGCTAGGTTGAACAAATGACATTACTCCTGACTTAGTTTATTGTGAAAATTTTGACTTTATCGCAAACAAAACCCAAATGGGGACTCGATCCCTAGAGCTCCCATTCCAAGGTCAACTGCCTACAAAGAGAGGAGACAGTTTGAAAATGACAGAAAGCCTTAGTACGTCTCGTCTGCTACCGGATAAAGTCACAGCTTTGTTGAACTGTTGCACAGGTGTCTTTGGATTGTTTAACACATTAAACGCAAGAACAACCGGTACCGCCGACGTTACTGTCCTTCTTGAAATAACTGTGGACGGTGAAAGCAAAAACAGGCATTAATGCTTGGTGGTTTGAAAAACATCGCAGCGTCTGCATCCTGCACGAAGTTTTGGGTTGCTGGTGGTCGATGGTTCGTCATCTTCCAAAGATGATGTTGAGGCAGCCTTCTAAATACACCATTGGCTGCTTTACCTAGTTTCATTTTCACGTTCTATTGTTATCAGTAGCCTATAATTACTGTGTCATTTTAGTTTTGGAATATTAAAAACCAATCTTAGTGTGTAAGAAGATTTCATTTGTTCCCCACTCATCTGATTAGTGTTAAATAAAAGACGCGCAAATAACAGTCATTGTCTTAGGTCGTGCTTATCTGATTTATTTAAAGAAAAAATTCCGCCCAAATTGTTCTTTACATGATTGCTTTAATTTATAGACAGTCATGTGATGCAACTGCGCCTTCATCTGGCTCGGTGTGGGCATATGGCTGCGGAACTGGTGGTCTCATTTCGTGGTGGCAATTTGAATACAGTTGTGATTGT